TATGCAAGACGTCGGTTAGGCGATGAACATGCAACGCTTGTCAAGCTTCAAAAAGAAGTCACCCACCTCAAGTCTGAGTCCTATCACTGGGACATCATCGAGGAATATCGTCATAGTTTGACTGGAAAAACAAAAGTGGTGATAGACTGCAAAACCAGGTATGACTATCTGTCGGCACAGCTCCCGACCGAGCTGAAGAAACCGCCTAATCGTTTTCACTACCTTCTGATGGTAGCCAACTGCTTGGATGCGATGAGGGAAGTGGAAGCGTTCGGAGGACTCGATCTGGACGAGGACGAGGACGACTTGAATGATGGGGGAGACTGCTCGACCCCTCCACCGGCTGTTCCCAGGAGTTCCCCACCTCCAACTCCAGGAGCCGAAATGGACTCCTCTTAGTCTCTTTAGGACCTTTTCTCCCATTTTGTATTTTTATCGTATGTATAAATACATTGTTTTTTGTAAGATATTTCATTGAATGAATGAAAATATATTTTTTGGTCTTGAAATTGTTGTTTTGCTGTGTTGTACAACTTCAATGTAGTTGATTCAAAAAATATTGCATAAGATATGCATATTGTGACAGTGTAACAAAAGGTGGCATTTTATGACAAAAGGTGGCATTTTATGACAAAAGGTCCACTTATTGGGAGTGAAAGGAAAGAAAAGAATGTAATAATTTGAAGGGAAAAAAGAGCCATGTACAAATTAGAACTAAAAGAGTATGAAGAGAGCAAGTAGTTCTTTGACAGAAATCAACCACCGAGGATTAGTCACTGGATTTCCATGATAGGTTAGAACATACTCAAGATTATTTTAGGATGAATTATGAAGAGATTGAAGAGGTATAGTAAGCACACTTATCAAAAGGAGGAAATGCCAAGAAGCTTTATGTCTAATGTTTAGGTGAAGGTTCAAGGAAGAAAAGAAGGTTTATGAATGTTTTCACTACTTTTGAGAAGGACTTGAACTGGCAAAAAAGGACAAGTTGAGGCGAAAAAATCAATAAAAGCCCTGAAAATACAAAACAACTAAATTTCATCAAGATATAGTTGTCGTTTAGTATTAAGCATTCTTCAATTTAATATTTTTCCTTTTTCGATCTTCAATTTAAATTGGGAAATTTTGGTTCAAACCTTTTTCCTACCATAATTTGTGCATCTCAACAATAGGCTAAATACGAAAAATTTGGTGCCGCTCCACAAGGAGCTAACGTGTTCCAAAGGGTTCTCTTTCATAATATGAGTTATCGTTTAGTAATATGCAAGAGTTGAATTTAATACTGCCACGTATCTTCAATTTAAATCGGTGAAACTTAGTCCAAACTTTCTTCCTCCTTACCATAATTTGTGGGTGTTTTTTCTCATAGGCTAAATATGAAAGAATTTGGTGTCATTGCACAAAGAGGTATGATGCGCAAAGGATTCTCTTTCATATTGATGAGTTGTCTTATAATATTATGCAAAAGTTGAATTTAATATTCCTCATATTAAGATGTTCAATTTAAATTGGTTAAACTTGTTCCGAACTTTTTTCCTCCTTACTATAATTTATGGGTACCGTTTCTCAAAGATAGGCTAAATACGCAAAGAATTTTGGTGTTGTTGCACAAAGAGTTATGGTGTTCCGAAGGGTTCTCACATTGATGAGTGGATACATTTTTCATAGAGATAGGCTAATATGCAGAATTTGGTGTTCCTGCATTAGGAGGTATGGTGTTCCAAAGGGTTCTCATATTTATGAGTCAAACAATATGATCAGACTTGAATTGTTTTTTTTTTTCTTTTTGTGATCGGGGGGTACCAATGATGATACTTTTGCTAACATAACAATCAATGAAAGGAAGTTTGAGATACTGGATGGGAAGGAAGAAATATTGGGTTTCATAATTTTGGCCAAACTACTACCGACAGACATTCTAGTTATAAGTCGGTAGGTAAAAGCTCTACATCCTATACTTACTCAATTTCTAGTGCTGTTATAATTGTTTAAATTAAATTTCTAACTGTAAAGACACCATGGTTCAATAATAGGTGTTATTATTGACAAAAATTTAAATTTATGTCTACTATTTGAATAGTGTTTCCGGAAGTAGAGTGTAGTTGCAATTAATGCATCAACCTTATAGTTAACATTAGTAAGAAACTACAAACTGTAAGGGTGATCAATGTTAAATAACGTGTTACATAACCTGTAATTTTATGTTATGCTACATACGTACTTAGTAAACCTTAAACGTTGTGTAAGATTTTGAAATATAACTCAAATACATCGCCACTAAGCTATTATGATATAAAATACATTATTTCACTAATGTAAGTTATAATATATTATACGCCATTTCAATATAACTTATAGTAGAGACTTCGAGTATTTTCTTTATTCGCGTTATTTAAGATTTGATGTAGTTAAGTATCTATTTTTGGATTGTTTTCTAACCTCGATGGATTCTTTTATCATTGTTATTTATATTTGGTGCTATCATTATGCTTGCGATTGTGAACTTATGATTGGTGAAGAATGAACTGAATGTGAAATTATAAAGGAGAAATGTAAATTCATGGTGATATATTTGAATATCTATGTGGTGCTTCTCAGTATATCAGTGTAGATAATATTCAATTTTAGAATTTTTATTAAAAATAAATTCTATATTTTGAAATCATGTTCCTATTTATTATTATGTCAAAAGAATAGCAAAACATGTAACAGCTATTATGTGTTATGCCAGTTGTGCTTTAAGTTATCAAGAGGTTGAACATTTTGTTTATACATAATCGTTATTATCAAAATTGGGAGACATGTCGTTCTCTAGAGTGACTTCATCTATTCACGCGTACTGGTATTAGATACACTTAAGAAATCATACAAAAAAAATTCTAGGCCAATCATGACTGGCATTGTTGCCATCTTTGTTATAGTGATATGTATGAATAAGAAAAGGTCTAATTTGAGGAAATGGCGATTTCATAAAATGGCAAATGAAAGGATATAAGGTACACAAGAGAGCAAAAGATGTTTAAGAAGCTAGGGATAACTCTAAACAGGCCATGGCAGAAGCCTCTAAGGAGATATTTCAGATAATTGACGCACAGGCTTGAAATTTTGTTGCACCAGCCCATGCATTATGCTATTGTTATTTAAATACTAAGTTATTTCACAATCATCTCAATACTATTAATGAAGAATTTGCTAGCTCCTATCAAATCTTCAAAAAACAGTGTCACCGTCCCATAAATATCAAAACAGGATAGGGAGACAAGAATATTGGGGTCTATGGTTTTGAGATTGTTCTTAAGATTGTTGTTAAAAATTGGAAGAAGACTCAACTAAAAACAAATAAACAAAAACACAGAGATAAAAAATCATAGCATTATTAGAAAATACCACGTTGGGATATTTTCAGTCAAAATGTAGTGCAATCTGGTGGATCAAACACGACATATTGCGGCCGGTATGAACTGTAAAAGGATGAAAAGCTATATTTAGCTTCATATTGAAGCTCAAAACATGTCAGGGACCTTTTAAAAAGATTACATAAGAACTCAAGTTTCCCATGTTTCTCACTTTAGCCTAAACAATAAACAGCCAGCAGAAATGAAGAAATGCACTTGAACACCAAGGATAATTGTTTTGGGCTGTATATGTTCTACATCATTGTTCTTTCCCCCTATAGAAAATCCTACTATAAAGTTTTGTGGGTGCATATGCAGAACACCTAATTAAATAGGACAGAAAGGGTTTTTTTTCAATAAAGGGTTTTTTTTCAATAAAGGGTTTTTTTAATCATTTTGCCTTGTGTGCTATGTGCGTGGGCTGTGAAACATAATGCTGTTAGATTGGTGGGCTCTCTGAATAGACTATTTAGTGTTTTACGACATTTTCAAAAGTTTGAGGGTCATCTCAATTTGAGGTGGAAATGAACCAAATAATTAACAAATTAGTTCATAATTGTTTGTCTAACTATTTGCCTATTCGGTCATGTTCGATTCGATAGTTCATTTAATAGTAAACAAATAGTTTTTATTACTCAATTCATAAACTAATTATAATAGAGCTTAATTAGATGTGCATCGATTTGTTTGATTATCAAATATTCATTTAAACATTTGTCTTATCATCCTAATGCTGTTATGTTTTTTACCCATTTGTATTTTGTAATTTAAGTGTATTACTAATTTTGACAAACGTAAAGAGCTCCGTATCAATTTTAAACAGATTTCTTTAACTAAATAAAAATATCTTCTTAATTTAATAGTTTAATTTTGATAAACTACAAACAATTAATGAAATAAATATACCGTGATATTCAATAAATGAATATTCGAAAAATATGTGTATTCAAATTCAATCCCAAAGAAACTCAGAATGTTACTCAAATTCATATTTGAATTCTAATTTTAAAACAAATACAAATATGAACATCTTAGTATTCGATTTGATTCATTTTCAGCCCTAGTGTCAGTATGGAAGTTACCCTAGTTGAAACTTATAAAACATTTTATTACGGAATTAAAAAAGTAAGGATAACAAGGCTAACATTTGAAAATCAAATTTGATCACTAAATCCCCTAGTAGAGCATAGGATTCTACATTCCTGACATTCTCATGCCCCAAACATTCAAGACTGAACTCAGTTCCGCAATTATTGACAAAATTCAACATAATGTAAGATAACAATATAAATACAACAAGATAACAATATAAATACAACAATCGCAAACTATTTCATTTAATCAACAAGATTTGATTATTGCAAGGTCATTTGTCAACTTGAATGGGTTACTATAGAAGAATTAGGGACAGTGTGAGGGTGCATATAGCCTGCATATAGACTGGGTGGAACAGACACAGGCAATTTCATTGACGTTTATGGATTAATTGCATTGTTTACTACTGTCTCACATAAAACAAATTCATTATTAAAAAATAAAAAAAATGATATATGCATGAAAAGGAAAAATAAACATGACATATTAGTGAAAATTGTGCCTCCATACCTTATTGGGCAATTCAACGATATTCTTGATGACCCTTCAATTATTTCAGGATCTAGCATCAAATTGGAGAGCATAGCTTTAGCGATGATGTAATCTACTATAAAGACCCGATAAACTAAGAAAAGGGCACAAACTACTAATGTACAGGACAACAATCTAATTATATCGTCCGCAAACCTTTTAAGAACAATAGTATATACTAAACAAGTGCAATGCATATTGAAGAAAAAAACTGGCTTTCCATTTACCTTTTTTTGCTAACTGGAATAATTTAGGCCACAATCTAAACAATGACAAAAAATAAAATAGATACCAGAGAGGAATTTCACACAGCTTGCAGTATATGTGAACCAATCATAATAAGTAATAATAGTACTCCTAATAAAAATACAATATAAACAATGTAAGGATAAATAAAAATTATCTATAGCCTATTAATGTTGGGTAACGTTTGTTAAGAAATCTAAAGTTATTTCATAAAACTGTAATAAATGTTTAATTTTCGTTATCTTCACCATGCCTAGCAAAAACCAACAGTGATCCAATTTTAATTCTGGTAAACGTTTGAGAACATTAGGCCTACCTTCCACCCAATTAATAAACAAAGAACCTATCCAACAAACTGTCGATTCTAGGCATGGCTATATCCTCTTCTGGTTATAACTCATAATAGAACAACCTAATTTAGCAGCTCCAAGTCCCTTTATATATTCCAGAAAGAATTCTAATCCAAGAAGATTAGATATTCTACAGCTTATGTCAAAAACAAACGTATTGACAGAAAAAGAGAACTGAAATATAGAAATATTTTATCAAATGAAAACGCAAACTCATACTTTTAGTTGGCCTCATTAAAAGAATAAAAGACAACCAAACAATTGAATATCACACTGAAGTCAAAAGGTGCAGAAACTTAATTGTGAAAATTGAAAAGTTGGCACATCACAACAAGATCACTTACCTCCAGTATCTGTTGCAGTTATAGCTGGTTGGACATATTCTTTCAGATCTGATCCAAGGAAATCAATTTCTTTGCTCATAAAGGCTACTGCTATAATATAGCTACCTGCTATTTGAGTTATTATTTGCAGGAATCAGACATCAAGTATTAACTACTACAGAACAACGTATCTAAAGAATAACATATGCAAACTCCATACCCTTAAAGTACCCAGATGCCTGGATAATATTTGTTCCATGCTTGAGCATTTTAGTGATATCAGTTGGCAGTTGAGGCCCTTTATCCTGATTTCCAAATGAGCATGCAGTATAATTTCAGATGCATCAGCACATAGAAAAGAAAAGTCTGCAATAATAAGATACAGAAGTACAAACCAGGAAAACGTTAGTCCTTCCTGCAACGCCTACTCCATTCACCAAGAAGCTAAAAGAAAAGAGAATCGGATTACTTCCTTAGTTCCAAAACTAGACCAAGCCTTCTACTATTATTTGAGAAATAAAAGTTTACCTCACTTCCAGAGGGTTTTCTAGACATGATGATGTCTCTTGATCATTTGTTTGAGCTACAAACAACCTCTGTAGGAAAAGTACAAAGTTCATGCGGCATAAGATTCTACATCTTGTCATAGTTGCTTTGTGTTAACTAAAGACTGACTACTTCCTCAAACAGAAAGAACTTAAATTACTAATTGTAAGGATTTATCTTTTTTAATTTTATTTGTAAATGTGCATATGATTGGTTAACATGAAGAAAATTGAATTGCTATTTCAGAAACTACCACAAGGAAAATGCATGAGAGATGCTTACAATGGATTCTCCCTGAGCCGTGGACCGCTTAATATGAAAGTCAGACATCAAAACTCCATAACCAGGCTACATAACAGGATTAAATATGGATTAATCATTGAATTTCAGAAAATTTTAAAGAACAGCTAAAGCACAAAACGCATTACGGCCATTGCAAGGAAAAAAAGTAAGAAAATAACTGAAACTTTAAGGAAAAAATATTCTGTCTGAAATAAGTTCCCTACATAGGCTTAATAGAATATTGATGTGTTCAGTAAACGTATCAACATGAGACCTCATGTGTATTATGATTCTGCACATAGTCATCTCTGTAAGCCTTTATTTCTTTTTTACAATGATCAGGACACTTATTAAAGGTTACTAAAGGCTAACGTGACTATCATACTGTGGTAACAAAAGAAGATACAAGATTCAACTATGCGAAGGAGGTGTGAATAGCCGACGATAAATCCTAAAAATAGCCAAACCTGTGGAAATTGACTGTAAAACTTCAATACAAAAAGGATCATAGTCATGAATTAGAACTTTCAACATTTTTCAAGCATTACCTTTTGGTTCCCAACCATAAAGTATATAAAGTACCATGGCCAGAATGTGTCGCCATTAATTCATATCAGGCTTTAGGTGTCTTCAGTACAATTGCAATATGTTATCATCTACAATACCAAATAAGCTGGAAAGGAACTCTATTTTCTTCCAAGAATAAGAAGACAGTGGGTCTATATTGCTCTTTTTTTATTCTTATTTACAAAAGAAGTACTTCTTTTATATTCTGTACACTGAGAGGTAAGACGATGCCGCTACTCCTCCCCCCCCCAAAAAAAAAAAAGAGAGAGAGAACGAATACCTCATTATTCCTTTTTCTTATATCGCAAAATTACAAGGGACAGCTATGGTCCTGGAAAGTTCTCCAGCAAAGAAACATATGATAAGGAATTAGCATCCATCATAAGTTGATGGAGTAGATAGGATAGGAGTTTAAGCTTGCTTCATTGAAGGATAAAATAAGGGAGAGGATATTGTTCTGTTTCCACATGTAAAGAAGGTTGGTAGGAGTGATGATACTAGTTAACCAAGTCAACTAGATGTACGCCCAAATTAACATGGATGGAGATGATGAAAAGGATCTACAGCTGTTAATTTAACAGATGCCCCATAATGGAAATAAGTCGTGTAATCAACCTCCAAAGTTTGGAATGGAGGCTTCAATACTGATTTCGTGATTGTAAACCTTAACGGCTCTCAATGGAGATGAATCATGTACTAAGCCTGACCGTATTAGTTAAATCCCTAATTTGGTGTCTGTTTTTATTGTAATTGCAATTGGAAGTACGTATCAGAAATATCCAATCAGCTTCAGGAATTCTCTATTTTCCAATGTGAGCTAACTTTAGTTGCATTTTTTTCAGGTTGGAGTTTTCATTTAAGATTATGTACGAGTTTTCATTAAAGACCAACAGTAATGGGAAGGATTGTGTGCAGAGAGGTAATTGAAGAAAAAAATAATAGGGCGGTAATATGAAATATGAATTGGTCTTAAAAATATATCGGATATTCTGAAGTTACCGTGTTATTTTGTGTTTACATAAGAGTTTTATGTTGTTCTGTTCCTGTAAGGAGTAGCAGAAATAGTAATGACTTATGTAGCTAAAATAGTTGCTAAGGAACCAGAAAACTTGCCAAGAAGCATTCTAATAAAGAAGGGGAAATGAACAGGAGGAAGGGTATTTTGCAAAAAAAATTAGATGCCTGTTAGACTTGACAGAATGTTACTGCCTTTTAGAATGATGCTTCACAAAAGAAACTAGTATAAAGTGAATCATATATTGTAAGGGATATTTGAATATGAATATATATATCAATATGAATTTGTCAGGGATTAAATCCAAATAAGATATTTTATGACCATCAGAGGCTTATGGTCTCATCTTGGAAACAATTGAAGAAAATAATATCACCAACCTTCACTTCAAAAGAAACAAGCAGCTGACCTAGCCTTAACTGCGGACAAAACCTACAAATAAAATAGTAAGGTATTTTGTTTATTGATTTGCACTGAATAAATTGTATAATATGCATTCAACTATTTAAAAATAGTAGAATATGCATGCCTCCAGTGATCAATAACGCATCAAATATATACAAGAGTCAGTACTTCTGCTAAGCAAAAAACAGAGGTTAATAAGAAGGAACATATCAGGGAAATGAAACTGTCTATCAAACATTTTTGAATTCTTACTTTTACCTTGAGAATCTGGAAATTTTCTGAAATTTCCTTAAAAAAAAGTGGAGAAAAGTATCTAACTCAATAAAAACCATGAATAAATAGTTGAGAATGCAACTCTTGGCAACAGCTTAGTGAGAGGCCTTTCCAAGATTTATTACAAATATCCTTCACATTATGAGGCAGAGAATACAAAATCCGTGTGCACAAGGGTTCATAGCTCAAGGAAGAAACGTTCCGGGTAAATGCCATCAGAAGAGATAACTGGGTGCATGAAAAAGAACATTTGAGCACATCTATCATAACACTACTAGACCAGTTAGGTTTTTTTACATTTTGCAGCAAAAAATTAACTTCTAGTAGCAATAAGAAAAGTAACTAGGGCAATTATTGTGCTTGATAATTATATTATATTATCAGTTAAGTTGCACCAACAATTGAAATTATAGGCAAAATGAAATAAAACAAGTATCCTCTGAAATAAAGATATAACAGAAAATCTTAACTCCCAACACCACCTCAAACTATAGAACCATGTGAAGTAGCAATTTAACCGATATTGATGCTTAAAGACAATCAGGAAAAACAAAGTTCCTCTATGGAGATGGAATGACTAAACAACCAAACAAACGTCAAGATGGAGAAGAATAGAACAAGTATTTACCATCAAATAGCAAAGTATCAGAGAATATGCTCCTTCCATTCTAACAACAAACTGAAGATCTCAAAGGTTTACCCTCTTTAGAAAATCTAACAGCAGTAACCTAAGGAACTCTACATGTGAACAAGGAAACTACTTGAAGCTCAATTTCTAATTAGATATAAGCAACCCAGTTTCGAGCTTATAAAACAGTAGTGCTGGGTGCAATGAGAGGATGATGCTCATAGTAATGACAAACGATGCGTAATGTCAAAAAATCTATATTATAGGCACCGCTTCAATCTTATTTATCCAAGATTTTTTTTTAACTTAAGGATAAAAACATCAGAATCATAATCTAAAAATGCAACCAATGAATATTTCTGTAGAGCATCAGGAGCCAAGTAGAGAGAAGAAATAATGAGAAGGGAAATGCCAAACATGTGAAATGGAAGACAGCTTCCATTATAACTTTTATGATCTCACTGTAAAGAGATTGAAGTCCGCTTTTTATTTTATTTTTTTTAAAATGATCATATTATATATGTAAACTTTAAAAGGAAAGTTTAATACTTAAACCATGTCAAATCTTTCTGTTCGCCAACGCAACAGTTTGGATGAAAGTGGAGAAACCTGAAAATTAGTTCACTTTAACTGAGACAAAGAACTTCGATATGTCAAGTGACTCAACCGCCCTGCCAACTCCCCACCCCAAAAGAATAAAACAAATCAAGGTGAAGCATCTAACGGTTCCTAGTGACATGCAAATAGGGTTCTACATCAGCATGGCATATGCATGTCGCCACATCACCTAAAGCATTTCCATTTCTTGTTTGTTAACAGGGATCATGCCTATAAGACTTATTCAAGAGATTCTTGGATACAGAGGATTAGATTATCTTAGTTGAGTCATTAAGTTTTCATTGAGACATGTTATATCGGTAATTGATGAGTCTATCGATTTACTTTGATCTGAGTCCTCTAAGTTAGCAATAATTTGCATATCACGTGTGGTTGACTTTACACCCTTTTGTATTCTTCTTATAGAAATAGAGATTAGATTATCTTAGTTGAGTCATTAAGTTTTGGTTGAGCGATGTTATATCGGTAACTGATTAGTCTATCTATTTGTTTTGATCTGAGTCCACTAAGTCACCAATAATTTGCATTGCACGTGTGGTTTTCGCCCTTTTGTATTCTTCTTGTAGAAATAGAGATTGATTATTTCGTGATCAAAATCAATGGTTGAATGCATGAACTTCACATATAGGTATAAGGCCAGCCTAATCCTGATCCTAGCCGATCCTTTTTCTTCTCCTTTCTGTTCACACCCAAAACATCAAGCCAAAAACCCTCCTCCACACCTGGGCAATCTCCCTTGTTTGCTACCGCCATCATAAAAGCTTTAACCATCTTCATAACTCCAATCAAAACTCCCCTAAACAACAATACAAATAAACCTAAACCCCCTCTCCTACAACCCACAACACCCCAAGCAAGTCACACTTCACCTTCATCCAACCACCATCCCAAGAGCCAACCCTCTAGCTTCCATCAACCACAGAAAGGCATCCTTCTCGTTTGTCACTGGCACTTAACAAGCAAGTGCCCAAGGATCCCATATTTAATTTTACAGTCTTCCTCTTCAAGAAAACAGCAGCCCAAATTCCTTCACACAACAGCTATCTTTTAACCTGAAATGGTCCCAAACAGCTGCCCGATAGTCATTGAAACACCAGGAACAAGAAAATCAGTTAAAAATCACACCCATTTACCCCAAACCATCCTTTCACATTGAAAGTTGATATCTCTCGAGAGCCAATATGAATTTCCAGCCAGTACGTTAAAGGAAACCGTCGATCTAACGCTTGTAAGGTTTGAAAAAGAGCAATAACTCTTTCCGTCATGTATAACACTCATTACTCTCTTGATTTAGTTGTTGGATCTTGAAGTAATTTTGTCTCCATGTGTAGTTTTAATCATAATTGTTAATTTAGTTGCACTCCCGTATGCAACTTGTATGTTTTTAATCATAGGATTTAGATTTGCGGATTAATTCCTAGAGCATAACTTACTATCTAGGGCATGCATATAGTTTAGGGATCTGACGAGTTTGTCTAACCAGTTTAGGAAGTTGCATCATCATCTGTCTTCTTGTTTGTTTGCATCCGGTAGACTTTGCTGACCCTATTATTCATGTTCAAGCAGCCTGCATTCACTTGTTCTCTAGAATATAAACAAACCTAATGGTTTTGGTTTTGGTTTTGGTTTTGATTTGGTTTTGGTTTTCGTTTTTGATTTGGTTTTGATTTTGCTTTCGATTTAAGTTTTTGATTTTGAATTATTCACAACCTGGCCAAATAACCTAACTAGCAGGTAGAAGTAGATGATTCACTAGGAAATATCTGAAGTTCTAACTAACAAAAAATAACGAAATAATTCTATAATAGCCCCACAAAGACGAAATTACAAATAATCATTACCTTCTAATGAATAAAATAATAATAAAAGGGCACATCGTGGCAGCTCAGTTAGCAAAATGAGCTATCAAGAGATAAAAGACTATTGGTGAGGCCCATCTGGCTAGTCACATCACAAAAGTGTGGAACTGACCACTTCTTCTATCTCTTTGTAGGTCATTTTGCTAAATGAGGTGGCAGCTCATAATCCATACTCCTATATGATAATCAGAAGTCAACAAGTTCTAAGTGTAAAATACACAATAAACAATAGAATACTAAGATGAGATACAAGTTATACCTAGGAATAATCTTCAAAATAGTATTTCGTGCAATGTCCGCTTCAGTGGTGATTTTGATTCCGCTACAGAAGCTGCCAAGTAACTATTTCCCAAAAACTGTAATTACAAAGTTGTTCATTCAAATAGAACAGTGCAAAATAAGGATGGAACTAGTGACTTTAACCGGAAGTAAAGTGAAGACCTCATTTGCCATTTTTAGTAGTTCATCGCTATCTGCATTAGGAAACCACCTACTCTGACAAGCACTCTTCAATAGAAAGAGTAATGAAATAGTATCAGAATCTAACACAAAATAATACACAAGAAATGGTAATGAAATGGCATTAGAATCTAACACAAACGTATATGCACAAGAAAAAACAGAAGAAACAAAAATAAGGGAAAGGTTTTATATGATCAACAAAGAATTATTTAAAGCAAAGGTAACACCTACGGAAAAGAGGGAAACCTAAAAAATAAATGATTTTCTATTCAGAAGAAAACAAATATAAATACCCCTCACAGCACGAACAAGTACTGCAAGAACATCAGCAAACAAAATGTAGGAAAGAGCTAAGAAATAGGTATGAGGATGTCATGGAATTCACAGCAGCGAAATGTATATGACATCACAATTGCATAGAAAATGGCTCTAAACATAAGCAGCTGCTTTCAATAAAAACAATTAATATGACCACCACCCAAAGTATTAATTAAATGGGTGCAAAGACTAACCCAATAGGCTAACAATAATAGTTCAATAATTCATTAGCATTCAGAAGGCCACCATTACTTAGTTTTCTTGCCTGATTTCTCAAATCATTAACTTAGGCATGAGCTAGTCTAATGCCTGACTTTCCAAAGGTTCCAATTTGCTTTAAAATCTTCCTAAGTGATGCTACGTTTTGTCACATTAAGGGAAACAAACAATATTATCATCGCAGACGGTGTGAATACAGTTAAACGAAACAAGTTCAACTAATAATTTCTCCATAATGGATTAATATCATTCAGAATATTCACTATTGCACAAGGTTAGCTATGTTTCTATTAAAGTAGAGAGTACTTTTGCTATCTATTTTCTTTATTAAGCGTTTTTTAGTCCCACATCAGGTACACTTGTAATCTTGAACTATTTATTTATCTATATAATAAGGAGGACTGATCCACAATGGGATCAAGTCACTTTTCCCACAATAACATGGTATCGGAGCATGTTATTAAAATTCCTCTTTCTAAACCCCAATTCCATCTATTTCCACCGCCAACTATCTCATCTTCATAGCCTTAATCCACTTATTCTTTTGCCCTGTTCCCAACCCATCATCTACCTACACTTTCGTCTTTTTCCTAACTCATCTTCATCTTCTTCATCAGCCTCAAACAACCCAACCTTATCTCACCCTTTTAAAAAAATCACAGTCATCTCCTCTTCTAAAACCAAAACCCTAATCTGACCTAATCCATCTCCTCTCCTAAAACAGAAACCCTAACCCTAAACTAATCAATCCCCTCTCCCAAAACCAAAACCCTAACCCCTGACCTAATCCATGTTCCCTGAAATCACTGCCCAGGACTCGTCTCGACCTCAACATTATATACGACCTTGATTCAAGCGTTGACCTGATCTGGAACTTCAACGAAATCAGCTTGGTCTGCATCCACGTCTTGATCTCCTCTACAGTTAACCACTTTCAACATCACAGAATCTTGACGACATCGCACAGATCACGATGATAGTTCAAATCTAATCATCGCTGTCCCCATCAACGACGTACTCCTAGACCCTCGCTGCTATGTTGATGCTTGAGCCCTTCCAAACCCTTTGCTCTTCATCCCCTTCAACAATCATCATGATTGTCGTGAGTTAAAATAATTTCTTTCATATAACAAAGCTTCTGTTGACACTCTACTATTATAATCTGTCATTTTCTTTCTAAACCAAAAACTACTACTTATGGCTACTGCCAAAGAGGACAATGGTCACTTGCATATCACCACAACTAAACTCAATGGAAAGAACTATTTGATGTGGGAGAAATCAGTTTGTGTTTATCTGATTTCTAAGGGAAAGTTGAAGTCGATCATGTTCTCTAAATCTGATCTTTCTGTTGCTACCTCTACTACTGCTATTGACAAGGATGTCGAGAGAATCTCTATTGAGAAGATTAAGGAAGACTAAGAACGCCAAAACTCGACTATTATGACTTGGTATGGGGGAGTATGGAGCCACACATATCCACTCACTTTATTTTTCTGGATATTGCTAAGGAGATCTAGGAAGCTGTCTGAGACACTTATTCTATGAAGCAGAATGCTTCACGAGTATTTGATGCATATGAAGAGCTCTTCAGTATTCAGTAGGGAAATAAGAATTTAGATGAGTATTATAGTCAGCTAAAGGGGATGCACAATCTCCTTAACAAGTATCATCCCCTGACTACATATATTCAGACTTTGAAGAAACAACGAGAGGATCTCTTTGTCTACAAGTTACTATCTGGCTTGAATTCAACTTTGAAACCACTACGAAGACACTTCTCATTAGAAGACGGATTACCCTCTCTTCATGGAACATTCTCTCGTCTCTCTTAGGCTGTGGAGACCCCACTACAGCCCTCAATTGCTGAGACTTCTGCACTTTTCTCGTCTACAAGATCTCTACAGTCTTCTCGTGGTCATGATGGATTTATTCCCCAAGGATGTGGTGGGCACATTGATCGTGGTGGTCGTGATGGGCGTAGTCGTGACTGAGAAAATGATTCACGCTTTTGTACTCACTGTAGACAGACAAATCACTATGTTGAAACATGTTAGGAGCTTCACGACAAACCAAGGTGGTCACAATCTCCACATAAGGCATATATTTGTGATAAGGGCGGCTTATCTACCTCAGTTATGAAGGAATCTTCTGATATCCATCCATCTTCAGCTAATGAGCATGTTTACATGAGTTGGTCAGAATATAATTCTCTACTGTAGAAGGTGCAGGCGACATCTACTTCAGAAGTTGCTACTTTAGCCCACCCAGGTATTACTTGTCTTGATTATGACGCATCTTCACATCTTACGATAAATCCATAAAATTTTCACAGTTTTCACAGACTCATTCTTCACCTTCTATTTCATTTGCTGATGGGCGCTCATGCATTGTCTTTGGCAGCGGCATAGTTACACCTACTCCTTCACTTACTTTGTCAAATGTTAATTATATTCTAAATGTTCATTTTAATCTTATATCTATTAGCTGTTTGACAAAATCTTTAAATTGCTCCATAACATTTTCTCCTTCATTATATGTGTTTTAGGATCTTCACACGAACATGATTGGTGGGGGTATGTACTATCTTCAAGGTACTGATGGACAATTTGATAACATTACAGCTACTGCTTCATATATTTCTGCTCTTCGGTGGCATAATCGTTTAGGTCATGAATCTAGTAGGTAATTGTATTCTATCATTCCTTCTACTAATTCTGTCTCTAAATTAGAATGCATTTCATACCTACTAGGAAAGCATCATAAGACTACTGTTTATAGGGAAAATAACAGATGTACTTCAATCTTTGATATTATTCATACGAATATTTAGGGTCCTACTCGTGTTAAAATCTTTTTCAAGTTTTTCTTATTTTGTAACATTTATTGATGACTATTCTCGTGAATGGTTATTTTTTATTAGAGATCATTTTGAGATTCTATCAGTTTTTAAAGTTTTTCATCAAAAGATTAAGACATAATTTGGTTATTCTTTAAAAAAAATTCGCTTTGATAATGCCGCTGAATTTATGCAAAAAGCTTTTCAAGATTATTGTTTTTTACACAGTATTATTCATCAGACATCTTGTGCTCACACACCATAGCAAAATGGTGCTGCTGAGCGTAAGAATCGTCATCTTCTTGATATTGCACGAATATTGTTACTTCATATGCATGTAGCAAAGCATTTCTAGAGTGATGTCGTGTTAACTGCTTGCTATCTGATTAACCGTGTGCCTTCAACTGTTTTAAATGGTCAAACACCTATATCTATGCTATATAATAACAAGAATAAAATCTTAAAAGTTTTTATGTCTTCGCTTTGTTCAAATTCTTGATAAAGGACGTGATAAATTAGATCCTCATGCTGCAAAATGTGTTTTCTTAGAATACTCAAGAACTCATAAAGGCTATCGATGTTGAAATCTTGAAACTAGGAAATACTTAGTTTGTGCTGATGTTATATTTTTTGAAGATACTCCTTATTTTACATCCTCCACATCTGAGTCTCCTCCTGTAGATGCACCTTACCTATACATGTTATTTTTGAGGAATCAGCGACATCACCGCCGCAGGCAATGAAACCGCTATAAGTTTATCAACGATGCAAAAAGAAAAGTTTATAACCTGCAACTATACTTACTATCCAATCTACTTTGCCTGAAGATCTTGCTCCTGTTCCTGAAGAATCTGATGACTTTGATCTTCCTATTGCCCTTCGAAAAGGTAAACGATCTTGTACAAAGAAAAATTCCATTGAAAACTTTGTTTCCCTATGTCATTTATCACGACATTATGATGTCTTTGCCTTATCATTATCCTGTGTATATTCCTAAATCCTTTCGTGAAGGTCTTTTAGATACAGGGTAGAAAAATGCAATGGATGAAGAAATTGTTGTCTTGCATTCTAATGTAATGTGGGAACTTACTACTCAACCACTAAGAAAAGTTGTGGTTGTTTGTCGATGGGTGTATGCAGCGAAATTTCTTCGGATAGGTCAAGCGATTAAAGGCTCGTCTAGTTGCTAAAGCGTATACTCAAACCTTTGGCGTGGATTACTTTGAGACATTTTCTCCGGTTGCTCGGTTGCATTCTGTGCGGATTTTATTATCCATTGCAGTTGTGAAAAACTGGCCACTTTTTCAGCTAGATATCAAGAATGCCTTCTTGTGCAGTGATTTGCAAGAAGAGGTGTATATGGTTTAGAGGAAGCCTAATAAGGTTTGTCACCTAAAAAAGCCATCTATGGTTTGAAGCAATCTCCTCGTGCATGGTTTGATAAATTAGTATGGTGGTTAGCAGCTATGGCTTGAAACGTACTGCATCGGATCATTCTATTTTTGTGCGGCAATCTAGCACAGGTATTATTGTCCTTGTTGTATATGTGGATAATATCATTATATCAGGAGATGATCATCAAGGCATTCGAAATTTAAAGTTATATCTTAGTTGTCACTTTCATATGAAAGACCTGGGAGTTCTCTGATACTTTCTTGGAATAGAGGTT